AAGAAGATAGGGACTCGCCCGTCTACATTCCCTCCACCGGATCCATATGCGAACCCCACGAGCACAGCCGCTCCGCCTCAGCGAAAGCGGGGCCGGCGCCGCAAGAAACACCGGAAAATTCCCTCCTCAAAGAGAGCACTCAGAGAGCAAAGCATACGCAGTGACAAACGCTCGCAATTCCCTCGAGAGCTGACTCTGCGTGTTTTGCTCCCAAGCAGACAACACACAAACTGTGTGTATCCCCACCCGAAATGTAGCGTGGGCAGGGAAGAACACACAGCCTGAGATGCTGCCCGCTCTCGCCGTATGTTTGTCTACACTCGTATTGGTAAAATAAAGAGTGATAATGGACAGACAACACCAAATAAGACTGACACACACAGAGCGCTTGCTGAATGACAGAAAGCTGACGCCAGTTTCACCGCACATGCTTTTATGCTTCCTGGTCGCTACGTCACCCCGCCTGTGACGTCTCGCCCATCCATTGGACTGATTACACATGTGATTCAGGGCGTGGTCACACTGGAGGCGTTCCCATAGCGTTTCGACGCAGCTCGAGTTCCTGAAGGGGAAACAACTGTTCGTTGTTATTTTTGTTAGTAAGAATGCTAACAGATACAACTTTTGATTTTAAAAATGTATTAGTAAATGTTGAAATTAAAATGAATGTTCATCAATGCTTTAGAAGTATTGTATATTAACCCTTTGTGCTGTATTTTCTGTTGGCAATTTGACATGCAGTTTTCATACACTTTGCCGACCCAGTTTTATGTAGGCCCACCCATTTAAACATTTCTGGCCTCCCCCTGGGCTCAACATCTATTCTAATTAGGGGTGTAATGATACACCAATGCCACAGTTCGGTTCATATCATGGTTTTGAAGCCACGATTTCAATAGTCGCGAGCTGTTTGAGAGGCGGCTGTGCGCGCTTTGGCTGAGAGAGCACTGAAGACTTAAAATGACATGCAAGTGACAATTCCGTCAACTGTCCGAAACACACACTAGTCTTGTATTGCAGCATGCAGCCTGCTTGCAGAGCAAACGTGGATATTATGGATATGAGGCCATTTGTGCATTTTGAGAGAGTGGGAGAAGATGCGGTAACACTCAATCCCAATCACTCACACCGTTTGTGAAATTCCGTCTCTGTTTGCAGGAATTTAACACTTTATAATTGCGTAACCTACAGGAATGTGTAGAATTATGCAAATGCCCGCAATCTCGCAGCGAAATTCAGGCCCTGATTATATTGCACAAAATCAAGCACAAGTGAACTTGAACTAAGTTACATAGTCAGAATGTATAACTCCTTCTGTGGACGTGCTTGTTGTGACAACATGCTGAAAACGTCAGCTAAACCCTAAGAATTAACAACATTTTTTACAATATTGCTCTCATTATAATGTTATGAATATGACAGTCATTGTTATTAATATTGTGCATTTCTGTTTTGAGCTGCGCACGCTGAAGATCACCAGTACAATGTAGCACTTTGATAGCGGGGTTTTAATAAATGGGATTTAATTCATCACATTTATCTCAAATAGGATGCACTTCAGTATTTATACTGCGTAACCTTACAAAATGACCCAAATGCTCAAGTGAACATGTCTGTGCTGCTCTGAATGTGTAACTCCTGTTGTGGACATGTTCTTCTCGCAACAATGTGCAGAAACACGGCAACTAAACTCTAAAAATTCACAGCGTATTATTATAATAGTGCTCTCATTATAATGTTATGTAGCCTACATGACAGATTTGTTCTGCACATGTTGCCCTTAATGGTACCTTCTTTTTCAAAGTGATTCAAGCAATTCAAAACCATCATAGCCATAAGCGTTTAAAGTGTCTCAGCAGGGGGCGGGGCAGGCCAAGAGAGTATCGCGGTACGCCATGAGACTACCTCCAGTGGCGCAAAAACGGGGTATGCGGTATATGCAGTGCATAGGGGCGCCACACATAGGGGGCGCCATTTTGCCAAAATCATTCTGTGAAAATCTTCTTTAATAAAACGTTATAAATAATCAAAAGCTTAGTTATTAAAAATAATTAATGCAACATTTTTATTGAACGTTTTTAGCATTTTAATGAGCTCAAAACTGTATTTGTTAAAAACTTATTAAGACGTGGAACGGCCAAAAGGAGAAGACAAAAATGCCGAAGACCTCAGCTGTGCGGGAGCACTTTAAATTGAGTGAGGACAAGACAAACGCAGTGTGCCAAATATGCGATTTGAAACTGACCAACCACAACAGCACATCAAGTTTGAAAAATCACCTGAGTTCTGTAAGTAGTACGCCTATAGTATATTGTTGGTGTATGTCCACAGCAACACACCCGCCAAGCGTGAAGTCAATTGGATGAACGGTTCTCGACATAATAAAAATGCAAACAGACAGACACACAGAGATTCCTGCCTTTATTAGAGAGAAGAATATGTTCAGCCCCCTCCCTCCGAAGCTTCGAATATTCTGTGTTGATTACTACCGAAGCTTCGATGCTCAAAAAATGGTATTCGGACCAGCCCTACTGTGTAATTCAAGTAGATTCAATGAGCTGAAAACAAAAAAGAGATTTGTAAATGTTATAATAGTCTAAATATAAATCCATTAGCAAAACATGTGAAAAGAACTATATTACAGAGTGGAAATGGTAAAGGAGACAATAAATGATCCTCTGCTGCCATTTAGTGGCCATAGTGGGAATCATGACATTCATTTTAATAGTATTTGTTTTTCTACCAGGTGAAATCTTCCACTTAGCATGGCAAATTTTCCATGAATTATCTCTTTCAGTAAAAATGACAAAAAAAGCAGATGTTCTCTAAAATAAATTTTACTATATAAAAATGTGCAAAAATATGAATAACTTTAAGGCAAATTATTTTTATTTTTTTTTGTTTTTACTTTTCACTTTTCCCCCTATTGCATTAAAAAAGGGGGAAGGGGGTTCAATCCTTTGTCACTTTTTTCACTCCTGATGAGTTTGTATTCTTCCATGCACAAGCTAGTAATGGGCTTTTGGTCAATAGGGCCTTTCGCACCGCTTTAGTTCCAGAACTAAATGTACAGTACTAAAGAACTGGGACGATTTTGCGCGAACTATTTCCCAGTACCATTTAAAGGGTTGCATTCGCACCGAGGGTGTGTACCGAGCGTGACGTAAGCCGGTCGACAGCGTCGTCATTTGTGCGCGGCGTTCAACAACAGAAACAAAGAAAAACAACATTAACAACAGGAGGATGGAGGACGCTGTGATCGCAGCTGTGTTTTTGTTGTGTCTCGCGGGTTTCACAATAATGGACATGGAAAGTCGACGTATACGTAAAGCGATTGAAAGAACGGAAAGGAGGACTAAGAATCTCCAACGACAACTGACAGTGCTACAAGTGCCTGCACTTCAGCGTCCGTCCATCTATCGCTGTTCTCCATACTTGCGAAATAAGTTGACACAATGTTTACAGTATGTTTACACAGCGTTTTAAATCATGGCGGGTGAGGGCGTTTTCATACGCGTTTGGCCAATCAATGTCTACTTACATCACGTAAAACATAACTGAATAAACAAATAGCCCTGATGGTCGCAGAGTCACACCTTTACATTGCATAGTGGGGGATATTTCTTCCCAGACTGTCTGCGATTAGCATATGAAAGACAGGAGATGGATCCCCTTCGTCCCCGAGATCAAGCAGTGCCCTCAAGTACCTGTGAAATGTCTCTACCCTCCACCCTTTTATCTTAAAAGTCTTCACGCAAATCTTCATTGGGCCCCGAGGCCCATCCCTCCCTCCAACAATGACCAAAGCTATCTCTATCAGTCAAAAACTGCTAAAGTTTCCTATCGGAATTTCTGTTACACTCTTAAAAAAAAACGAAGGTTCTTTATGTTTACACGGCGTTTTAAATCATGGCGGGTGAGGGCGTTTTCGTATGCGTTTGGCCAATCAATGTCTACTTATGTCACGATTAGTACCAGTTGTGCTGGTTAGACCCTGCTCTGGAGTAGGAGCTAATTTGGTTCTCGAAAAAGGCAGTCCGGTACTAAAATCGCTCCCAGTTCCGGCGGTGTGAAAACGCCAAAAAGTGGGTAGTTCCACAATTAGTTCTGGTACTATGAAAAGGTTCCCGCGGTGCGTAAGGCCCTATTGACTTGCAGAAAGTTAGAGGCTACTACAATACAGGGGGGCACCAACACTGATCTTGCATACCCCTCGGCAAATGTGCAGTTGCGCCCCTGACTACCTCATGTGTACCGTGGATGGTGTATCGCATTTTTCCGGTTCGAATATCGTTACACCCCCAATTCTTATCTCAACCTCCAAGGGCATGTTCTGTGTTTAAAGTCACTGCAGCATACTCACTTTTTCGGCCTGTAGTCCGGAATGTTCCTGTCCAAGGAGATGCGGTCGCTCAGTTGGGCATTGTAGCCATACTCCTCGTACCTCCCTTCGCTCTCTCGGCTGTCCTCCCCCAGCGTGGCAGCTGCACCGCCCTGTCCTAGACCTCCAGGACCCTCCACCAGACCCATGGGCTTGGCTAGACCTGCAAAGCAATGTGGGGAAAAAGGGGTTTGACTTCGGTTAACATGACAATGGTCAGGATATCCCATAAGTACGGTAAAGCGAAACTGGGTTCATTACTGCAGGAGAGCGATAATTGAATGTTGGACACCAAGACACCACATTCACCTTTTGTCACCTCTTTCATACAGACCTCCCGGGGGGAAAGGTGGAAAGCAAGTGAACTGTGTTTAAAGGGTTGTCAGCAGGGTTTGAAATTAACACCCGCCAACCCGCCAAATGCGGGTAAAAATCAGCTGTGGCGGGTAACGCTGTCAAATCACTAGCAAATTTGGCGGGGTACTTTTCGTAAATTATGTTTACTAATTAATTTCTTGAGGAAGTTCATGTAAGCCAAATCTGCACAGATTTAGTGTAAATACTGAACTCGAGACTCATCATGATATATTAAATAAGCCTAATTGCGCAGCATCTGGGCATCTAGCTTACTTGAACATACCCAGCGATGTAGCTACTGGCCATCGGGACCACCGGGACATTCCCGGTGGGTCGATCGCCGAAGCGAGGAAGACCTCATATTAGGCGCTGTTTTTAAATTACAGCGGCGCTACCCGGTGCGTCCGCCAGCCGCGCGTTAAAGCAGAGCGGGATCAGTCTCCCGCACCACCATTTATAAGAGATAAACAGCACTAATCGCTCGATCCATTCAGAAATGACATGAGAATTGTGTTATACATGTTATACAGATGACAACATTAAAGGTTCTGCCTGAAAACAGCCACGGCAAGGTAAAATGCATGTAAACAATGTAAACAAACTTATTGATCTTTAAATGTTTCATTCTAATTAATTTTAATTTAAGTAAAATGTTAATTCAGTAAGAGCCTGATTAAAGATAAAAACCAGTGTCTCTCTAATTTAGAGACACTTATAAATGAGGTGTTTTCCATTTACAAATATTATAAAGTTCTTAAAGGGATAGTTCACCCAAAAATTAAAACTGTCATCATTTAGGCTACTCAGCATCATGTCATTCCAAACCTGTATGAATTTCTTTCTTCTGTGGAACATAAAAGAAGATATTTTGAGAAATTCAAGAAATGTTTGTCCATACAGTAGAAATCAAGAGTAACCAAAATGGTTTGGTAACATTCTACAAAATATCTTTTGTGTTTTACAGAAGAAAGTAAGTCATACAGGTTTGGAAAGACATGAGGGTGAGGAAAGGATGACAGCATTTATTAGCAGTAAATTTCCTATGTTCTAGCACAAAATCAATGCTTATACTGTCAAGTGCATTTCTATGTGACAAAAATGCAGTAGGCTATTAGTCTGTTGCATTTGCTGTGAATTCAGTAATATATCATTATTTGTTTTTGTCCCTATAACACAGCGAAACATTCACAGGGGACCTTGAGGGCCAGGTAGGCTGGATTTGTCCAGGGACGAATTTTAACCCCAGTCCAGCCCTGTACCCATCACTACGCAACAAATAATGGCGTGGCGGGCGCACTGGTTACCTTTGCATTGAAGCAATAACGAAAAGTAAAAAAATGCCTGAAGACTCGCA